GCAGGCGGATCACAAGGTCAGGAGTTCGAGACCCACCTGGCCAACACGGTGAAACCCTGTCTCTACTAAGAATAGAAAAATTAGCCAGGCATTGTGGCATGCACCTGTAATCCCAGTTACTCAGGAGGCTGAGGCAGGAGAACCGCTTGAACCTGAGAGGTGGAGGTTACAGTGAGCCGAGATCATGCCTCTACACTCCAGCCTGGGTGACAGAGCGAGACTCCATCTCAAACAAAAAAAAAGAAAGAAAGAAAGTCACAGGACTAAGAATAAAAAGCCCGTTCAACTGGGGTTCTATCTTCTAGTACTGTTGCGCCAGGAAAATTCATCTCTTGAAAACAGATAACTATAAAAGGCATTGATTTCCGGCTCTGACTCCTAGAATGTTGCCGTTCTAAAAGTCAAACTAAAGCCATTTTGTCTGAAAGCCTTCTCACATGATTTTTGGAATAAAGGGAGTAAGAATAGATAAATACAGAAATAAATAAAACATTATTCTGGCAGAGGACTGATTGTATTCCAAATTATCCTCAAGAAGAGCAAATAAAATATAGAGATGAATTTGGCGGACAATTTTCTTCACGTGAGGTTTCAATGTTTGTACAGTTTTGAACTGGGAGTTTTCACATAAAAACATGGGGCTTAATTTCTTACTGTAAGCATTTTCTGTTGGGAGAAATCACTTTTTTTCTCATCTGTCTGTGGTGATGCTGTCACTGTTGGAAAATTCAGCTTCTTTATTTGTTTAATTTACAGAAGAGTGTTTGAAATATTCTTTATACTTAACATATAAAGAATATTTTTAATGTACAGAAAAAACTTAAAGAAAACGTAGGCAGGGGAGGAAAAGGATGAGAAAAAAGAGCATAAGAAGCAAAATATTGCAGCCAAAAGTCACAGAAAATGTTTTGCAATGGAAACCATTTCCTTTTCAAATACCACTGCATGGAAATGATGGCAAGAGGAAAACACCTCATTTTTAGTGGTCACCACAGGGCCAGCAAGCATGCTTAATCTGGCTCTAATTTTACATCCCGAGGCCATGTCAGGAGCGTGGCTGTTTATTATGCCATTTGAAGAGAAATGGAAGCCAAAGGCATGAGGCTTCTCCAGTGAGGGGAGGTCCCAGGAGCGGCCTTGGCTGGGTGGACTCTTCCGTGAGCCTCTGCAGCGATGCTTGGGACTCAGGCTGGGGCCTGAGAAGGGTGCAATCAGCCTGGGGCCTGGGGCCGCTTCTTGCTGATGACTCTCACCACTGAGATATGTACAAATCAAGTCAGGGTGCCCCTTCACTAAAATACAGAAATAAATAAAACATTATTCTGGCAGAGGACTGATTGTATTCCAATCAGTGTGTGTGTGTGTGTGTATACAGACACACATGCATATGTGAGTGTGCACGTGTTTGAGACATAGCATATATAAGTGCAAATGTATATTAAATGTAGAGATACACAGAGATAAATGGACAGATATAGATACATGAATGCATATATAGGTAAACATCAATATGTGGATCCAAATAGATACATGGATAGATGATTGCTAAATAGATATAGATACATGTATGGATATATTGATAGAAAGTAGATTCACGGATAAATGATGGATAGAGGTAGATACATGGATGAATAGGCAGACAGATAGGTAGGCAGACAGATAGACAGACAGATAGATAGATAGATATAGATAGATAGAGATGAATGGATAGATAGGTAGATACATAGATATGGATATATAGATGATAGATATGGATAAAATGGATAGATATATAGATAGAAAGAATAGGTAGTTAGATATATAGCTATAGATATATAGATGATAGATATGGATAATATAGATGGATGAACGGATATATAGATGATATAGATAAATGCATAGGCAGATAGATATATAGATAGATATGAATAGATATATAGACAGATATGGATACGTGGATGAATGAATACAGAGAGAGAGAGAGAGAGAGAAATAAATAAATAAATAAATAAAATAAGAGGCCAAGTGCTATGGCTCACACCTGTAATCCCAGCATATTGGGAGCCCAAGGCAAATGAATTGCTTGAGCCCAGGAATTTGAAACTAGCCTGGGCAACATAGCAAGAGCCCATCTCTACAAAAAATTTAAAAACTAGCAGGAAATGGTGGTACATACCTATAGTCACAACTACTTGGGAGGCTGAGGTAGGAGGATTGCTTGAGCCCAGGAATTTGATGCTACAGTGAGCTCTGATCACACCACGGCACTCTGGCCGGGGCAAAAGGGCAAGACCTTGTCTCTAAGAAAAAGAAAAAGTAGATGACAGACAGATGGATATAGGTAGACAACTACGGAGAAACAGACAGCTAGATCAATACATGAGACAGAAAGAGAGCAAGAGAGAGACAGAGAGTGAAAGAGAGACAGACTGTGTGTGCATTTGAAGCTAATACAGGGTTTCTCAGCCTCAGCACTGTCGACATTGGAGTCTGGATCACTCTCTGAGGTGAGGCCGTCCTGTGCACTGTATGGGAAGCCCCTGAGGCCACGGGAATAGGCTCGGGGCTGTGGTAAGGAACGGATCCACCACGAGGGCCTCCAGAAGGAACTCACCCTGCCCACACCTTGATTTCAGACTTCTGCTTCCAAAACTGTGACAGAATGAATCCCAGTTGTAAGCCACCTGGTGTGTGACAGCTTGCTACAGCAGCTCTTGGAAACGGCATACAAGGGGGATGAGACACATTCTAGTATGCTTTCCAGCAAAGTAAGTCTGAGCCGATGTGCTTTTTTTTTTTTTTTGAAACGCAGTCTTGCTCTTGTCGCCCAGGCTGGAGTGCAATGGCACGATCTCAGCTCACTGCAACCTCCATCTCTCAGGTTCAAGCGATTCTCCTGCTTCAGCCTCCCAAGTAGCTGGGACTTCAAGCATGTGCCACCACGCCTGGCTAATTTTTGTACTTTCAGAAGAGAAGGGGTTTCGCCATGTTGGCCAGGCTGGTCTCCAACTGCTGACCTCAGGTGATCCACCCGCCCGGGCCTCCCGAAGTGCTGGAGTTCCAGGTGTGAGCCGCCGCGCCCGGCCCCTGGGGTCTCTTTTATAAGAGCACTGATCCCTTCGTGAGGCTCCACCCTCATGACCACACCACCTTTTAAAGACTCCACCTCCTAGCGCCACCACTTTGCGGCACAGAAATTCCGGGGAAAAACGAGCGTTCAGTTTATTGTGGTGACCGAGGAGCAAGCCCTGTAACAACACTGGAGAATTGATTGCTCACAGTCCTGGAGGCTGCAGGTCCAGGGCAAAGACGTGGCAGATGCAGTGTCTGGTGTTGACCCACTTCCTGGTTCCTAGATGGAGCCTTCCGGCTGTGTCCTCACATGGTGGAAGGGGTGAGGGAGCTCTCTGGGGCCCCTTTTACAAGGGCACTCATCCCATCCATGAGGCCCCACCTTCACGACCTCATCACCTCCCAAAGGCCCCATGTCTGAACACTATCACCTTGGAAGTGAGGAGATCAAAATAGAAATTTTGGGGAGATAGCAACATTCAGACCATAGCAAATTTTATATGCTACTTTCTAATAGACTTACAATCATCATTTTAAAAAAAAATCACTGAACTCCCATGAAATTCCTTATTTGTCACCCCTTTGACTTGGATGTCTGTTTTCTAATATTGCATTTAAAATAGAAGTTTGTCACCTCCTAGGACCACACATTGTACCTGTTCGATGTTTTCACCAGGTGGGCAGTCAGGAAACATTTGTTAATAGCCATGCATGGGGAATACCGTTACTCAAGTCATCTCACTTCTTTGCCCTTAAAATTACCTTTTTTTGGCCGGGAGAGGTGGCTCACACCTGTAATCCCAGCATTTTGGGAGGTCAAGGAGACCAGCCTGGCTAACATGGTGAAACCCCATCTCTACTAAAAATACAAAAATTAGCCAGGTGTGGTGGCGGGTGCCTATAGTCCCAGCTACTTGAGAGGCTGAGGCAGGAGAATCGCCTGAACCTGGGAGGCAGAGGTTGTAGTGAGCCGAGGTTGCACCATTGCACTCCAGCCTGGGCGACAGAGTGAGACTCCATGTCCAAAAAAAAAAAAAAAAAAAACCTTTTCTTTTTTGTTACTCCCTCTGCTGAAAACATTTAGAGGTGAATTACACAAAACTGTTTGAACCAAATGATGACTTTAAAAATTCATATTAGCAAAAACAACTTTTACTCAAGATAAATTAAAAGAGCCAACATCTAGGCCAGGCGCGGTGGCTCACACCTGTAATCCCAGCACTTTGGCAGGCCGAGGCAGGCAGATCACAAGGTCAGGAGATCGAGCCCACCCTGGGTAACACAGTGAAACCCCATCTCTACTAAAAAAATACAAAAAAATTAGCCGGCCGTGGTGGCGGGCGCCTGTAGTCCCAGCTACTTGGGAGGCAGAGTTTGCAGTGAGCCGAGATTGCACCAGACAGAATGAGACTGTCTCAAAAAAACAAACAACAACAACAACAAAAACAACCAACATGTAGATTAAGTTCTCTTTTCTAAAGGGAAATTAAGTTTTCAAAACATATCCTCGGCCGGACACAGTGGCTCACGCCTGTAATCCCAGCACTTTGGGAGGCCAAGGCACATGGATTGCCTGACTTCAGGAGTTCAAGACCAGCCTGGGCAACACGGTGAAACCCTGTCTCTAATAAAATACAAAAAATTAGCTGGGTGTGGTGGCATGCACCTGTAATCCCAGCTACTCGGGAGGCTGAGACAGGAAAATCGCTTGAACCTGAGAGGCGGAGGTTGCAGTGAGCTGAAATTGCACCATTGCACTCCAGTTGGGGTAACAGAGCAAGACTCCATTTCCAAAAAAAAAAAAAAATCCTCACACTGGGATGAGACACCCAACATCTAGAAGGCATTGGGTCTCACCAATTACATAAAAGATCGTGTGTCCTTCATACCTCATGGCAGGCTGTTCGGGAACCAGAGAAATCCAATAAGGTTGATCTCCTTGGAAGAAAACATTTGCAAAGTCAGGGGGAAATTTCAGATTTTATTTGCTTATTATGATGACCAAACATGACCAAAAGCAACCAAACATGATCAACTTCTTTTTTTTTTTTTCATTTGCAATTCTTCCTTAACAAGAACATGGTAACTGCAGGTATATAGCAGGAAGGAGACCACTGGGGGCTAGTTGCAAAGACATGAGCGTAATAAGGAATGGAAAAGCCGTTTCTTCTCCAGGAAGGTAACTCTGCCATTTTTAACATTTTTATCTCATTTTCCCAGCCTCCCTGCTACGGACAATGTTCAGATCCTCATCAGCCGGGGCTCTTCCACCAGCTTCTCAGCATTGCTCTCCAAGGTGTGGTCCCTGGATCAGCAGCATCAACATCCTCTGGGTGCTTACTGGAGATGCAGAATCTCAGGCCTCGTGTCCCAGGCCTCCTTAATCAGGGTCTGCATTTCAGTCCGACTCCCCAGTGATTCCTGCACCCAGTAGAGACTGGAAGTCCTGAGAGTGGTCCTAGTGCTGTGGAGTCCAAAGTTCCTGAGGTTCGCTGCATAACAGCCAATCATTCGGGAGACAAGAAGTTAGAAAAAGAAAAGCATCTTTATTTGGAGAGCCAGCAAGTCAGGAAGATACTGGACCCATGTCCTAAGGAACCATTTTTAAAGGCATGAATCTCAAACTTCTTTGTACATTGAGAAGGGGGAACAAGGAGGAGGCTGAGGTGAGGGGGGTGGCTGGTGACCACAGACACTTGGGCATCAGCAGGGGCCCAAGGAGATTGCAAAACTTCCTTGTCCTTGCTCAGGTCACAGTGCTCCTACAAATCTTCAACACAACATTGCTACTTGTGTGCATGCCCTTCTTATCTCCTCAGAGGTTAGTTTTGGAAAGGAATTCTTATCATCCTTGCTTTCCAGTTAAACTGTAATCTAAGTTCTTTCCATGATTAACTTGGCCCATGTGCAGAAGTGCCTAAGAGCAGTTAGCTTGAGGAGTCAGAAGCAAGATGGAGTCAGCTATGTTCAATTTCTCTCCCTATCACACTGGCAGCCCATTCTATCCTCTTCTGAGAGACTGAGTGTTTCAAAATGTGGGCCTCTCCATGGCCTTCATGATAAAAGTGTAGGTGCCTTTAGAACTAAGCAGGGTGTAGCCCTCTGCTCAGAACCCTGCATGTGTGGCATGGTATTCTCACTCTCTCCTTACAATAAAGGTAGACAAAAAATAAAAAGTGTTTTTCCAGCTGGGCGCAGTGGCTCACGCCTGTAATCCCAGCACTTTGGGAGGCCGAGGTGGGCGGATCACAAGGTCAGCAGATCGAGACCATCCTGGCTAACACGGTGAAACCCCGTCTCTACTAAAAATACAAAAAAATTAGCCGGGCGTGGTGGCGGGCGCCTGTAGTGCCCACTACTCAGTGAGGACTGCGAGGCAGGAGAATGGCATGATCCCGGGAGGCGGAGCTGCAGTGCAGCAGTCGCGGCCATTGCACTCCAGCCAGGGAGGGGACAGGCGAGACTCCGGATCTCAAAAAAAAAAAAGTGTTTTTCCTCCTCTCTACTCTCCATTAAAACAAACAAAGTGAAGAGAAGAGAAGAGAGAGGGAGGAAGGAGGAGGAGGGAGAAGGAAGAGGAGGGAAGAAGAAAAGAAAAGAAAGAAAAACACAGAGAGAAGAAGGAAGAAACGGGGTCGGGAAGGACAATGAGGGAGGGCGGGGAGGAGGAAGGCAGCAAGGCAGGCAGACTGCCGGCCATCTGCTGGCACATGCGCACCTGCTCCCCTCTGCAATTTCTCAATCCTATCACCCAAGAAAACATCCACACACCCATAATTCCTAAAACATAAAGTCCATTTCAAATCATGAAATAAGTAAATGTTTCTATGGGAAAGCCATCGTTCTTCCTTTTCTCATAAACCACCTTCCATATCTGTCTCTCTCACCGGACACCTCTTACTAGCGATTCCAATGCCCGCGCTCTCGTGGTCTTGCGGGCGCGGTGAGCGCTCCTGCGGGGACTTTTGTTTCTCTGCTTTGCGCGCGGCCACCAACCTGAAAAACAACACACGCCTCATGCAATTGAATTTCCAAAGGCAGCAGATAAGAACCCACACCATGCGTCTCCGCGCCCTGCTCTCTTCCAACTGCCTGCTTTGTCACCAGAACAGACTCTGCAGGCCCCTGGGCTCAGGGGGCTTCCCACCGGGTTCTTGCCTTTGGCAGACGTTTTTGTTTTTACCTTCTCGGCAGGTGTTTTCTTCGGCTAAACTTGGCTTAGACAAAGAATGAGGTGCTGAAGTTGAGCTGCTTGGGAGGCAGAGGCAGCAGAGTCGTCTGATCCCGGGTGGTGGAGGTCGCAGTGAGCTGAGATCGAGCCACTGCTCTCAAGCCTGGGGGACAAGAGCAAGACCCCTCTCAAAAAAAAAAAAAAAAAAGCAAGAAAAGAAAATAGTATGTCTGTGTGTGGGAGGATCACTTGAGCCCAGGAGTTCAAGACCAGCCTGCACTACATAGTGAAGCCCCATCTCCAGGAAACATTTAAACATTAACCAGGCTGGGCACGGTGGTTCATGCCTGTGATTCCAGCACTTTGGGAGGCTGAGGCGCGTGTATCGCTTGAGCTCAGGAGTTTGAGACCAGCCTGGACAACATGGTAAAACCTTGTGTCTTTAAAAAAAAATTTTAAAAAAGCCGAATGTGGTGGCTAGTGCCTGTGGTCGCAGCTACTTGGGAGGCCAAGGTAGGAATATCGCTTTAGCCCAGGAGGCAGAGGTTGCAGTGAGCCAAAAGATTGTACCACTGCACTCTAGCCTGGGCATGAAAACCTGCATGAAACCCTGTCTCAAAAAAATATAAAAATTTTAAAAAGTAGGCAGGCATGGTTGTGTGTGTGTGTAGTCCCAGCTACTCAGGAGGCTGAGGAAAGAGCATGGCTTCAGCCCAGGAGGTTGAGGCTACAGCGAGCCACGATCACTTCACTGTACTCCAGTCTGGGCAACAGAGTGAGATCCTGTCTCAAAAAAAGAAACGAAAGGAAAACAAAAGAGAAGGGAAGGGGGAGGGGAGCGGAAGGGAGTGGAGGGGGAAGTGGAGGGGAAAAGGAAGGGGAGAAGGAAGGGGAGGGCGAGGGGAGTGGGGGGAGGTGGTAGGAAGGGAGGGGAGGAAGAAGGGAGAAAGGGAGGGGAGAAAGGGAGGGACGAGAAGGGAGGAGGGGAGGGGAGAAAGGAGGGAGAAGAAAGGGAGGAGGGGAGGGGAGGGGAGAAAAGAGGAGGGAAGAAAGGGAAGGGGAGGGAAGAAAGGGAGGAGGGAGGGGAGGGGGAGAAAAGGAGGGGAGGGAAAAAGGGAGGAGGGGAGAGGAGGGAAGGGAAGAGAGAAAGAAACAAAGCAAGAAACAAGGTAAAGGAAAGGGAAAGAGGGGGGAAGGGGGAAGGGGAAGAAAGGAAGGAGAGAGAGAGAGAAAGAGAGAAAAGAAAGAAAGAGCTGGTCTGGTGGGGATGTCCACATTGATTGAGAACCACAGAGAACAATGGCCATCCTGATAATACAGACAATTGTCATTTGCCCTCCCGTATTCACCACGAAACTAGAGAGGTGCTTTCTGGAGGAGCAAAGGTGCTTCAGAAATGTGGAATCCTGACGATGCACAATGCAGAATGCTTTCTCAGAAGTGAGCTCAAGCCGTATGTTCATTTTTTTTTTGTTTTTGTTTTTCCCAGTTACTGGTAATTTGGCTTTGTTAAAAAAAAAAAAAGAGAGAGAGAGAGAGAGAGAGAGAAAATGCAACTGTGAATAGAGAGACTGAATGTGTCTGACCCAAGGTTGTCGCAGCTCCTGTTTTCTGGTTAGGCCTGCATTTCCTTATGAATCACAGGGAATGGAGAACTTTTCTTGATAATAATGGTCATTCTATGCAGAGCAGGACTTGAGGTGTTATGATAAATGTATAATTTCTCAAAAGTGGTCTACTTGAGAACACAGTTGCAAGGAGTTCCTCTCCATATTTGTTCCTGGGTAAAGCAGCTCTTCATAAGGTCATTCAGCTTTCAATTTATTTTAATCAGCACTTCAGCTCAGGCCAGCAATGTCACTGTGCTTTCCAGTCAGGACGGTCCCAGGGTGCCTCAGACACTGACACAGAGAGGAGTGTCAAATGACTGTCATTGAGGGGTAAAGTAGAATTTGACATGAGAATAAAACAGAGATATGTAGAAATCACAAAAGAAGCATGCTATATTTCCAGTGTAATTCCATTTTAGGTGAATATAGAAAATAATTGCAAATTTTCACATATGCCTTCATTAACTTATGCTATACTAATTTTCACATATGCCCAAGTTAATTCATACTAATTTATACTAACTACCACCAAGGCCATACAATTCTGCCCAAGGTAAAATTTACCTACTGTCAGAAGTAAATGTGGTGTTTTAAAACTAATTCTACAGTCAAGAGATCCCCATTAACCACACTTCTTAAAACCAGATGAGCAAGTTCTATCAGATTAACCCTGGAGCTTAAAATCCAACTACACAGAGAACTTTTTAAAACCCTGAACGATTAATTCCACCTGTTGGAAGTGGTTCCCTTCACCTGGGCAACTGCTAAGTCATTGTTTTATTTCGTGTAATGGAAACACAGTAATGCATTAGATATTCGTAAGATTAAAATATTTCGAGGCATCCAAGGAGCACAGTAATGCTGAAGTGGTCATGAGCATGAAAGATATTTCATCTGCAACTCCTGTACAGTGATAGGAAAGCATCTGTGATAATGGTTGGTAAGAAATCTACAGGCGAGACTAATATTGTTGTGGGGTGTTGCCTAGGTCCATAGGCGATGCAGAATTTCAGTTACAAGTGAGTAAATCCAGAGAAGTAGACTTTGTCCCATCTCAGTTGACAGAGCCCTTGAATTTTACTCACAGACCTCTGGGGTCTCTCAACATACCAAGGCAAAGAATAAAACCTCCAACGACAGGGTAACAGAAGAGGGAACGAGTGGCCAGCCTTGTTCGTTTGAGACACGATATAAATATCAAACTTAAAGCAGAAATAATGAAAATGAAATTGCATGTTAAACTGCTCTTCTAGATGCTTATTTTTGGTTTCCCTTATTCTTCTTTTATTTTTCATTATTATTAATATTATTATTGAGACAGAGTCTTGCTCTGTCGCCCAGGCTGGAATGCCACGGTGCCATCTCGGCTCACTGCAACCTCCATCTCCCGGGTTCAAGCGATTCTCCTGCCTCAGCCTCCTGAGTAGCTGGGACTACAGGTGTGTGCCACCACGCCTGGCTAATTTTTGTATTTTTAGTAGACATGGGGTTTCACCACATTGGCCAGGCTGGTCTCGAACTCCTGACCTCATGATCTGTCCGCCTCGGCCTCCCAATTTTCATTATATTTTTAATCAATAAACAATAATTGCCTATGTCTCTGGGGTGTGCTGTGATGTTTCTCTGTATCTTTCCTGTTGGATTCATCCTCAGTGTCAGTGCAGAACCCTTGGTTTACAGACACTTGGTTTGAAGAGATCCAACATTCAATGGAAACGTCTATCAGACAATGAGTGAATGGCTGTGCCTTCCATATAAAAGCACGACAATGGTGTGTTCTGAGTGGAGGCATGCCTCTGTGATTTTACACCTCTCTCAGCTCGGCTGGAACCCAGATTCTTTCAGATTTATACCTCTCTGGGTAAACAAAAAGCTGGGACCCAGATTCTCAAAGTTAAGTATAGTCTTTCGGCAAAAGCCTCTTTGTCCACATCAACAGTGAGATAATTTGCTGTCTCAGAACTGCTAGAGCAGCTGAACTTTCCTTGTTTGCCTTCTTGTTAGAGTGCCCGTGAAAGGCAGATTGGAGACAAAACTGATTCCACAGAGGCCATGGATAAGAGCTGTTTTGTCTCCAGTTGCATCAGAATCACAAACTATTCCAGAGGAAGGTACACAGAAGACATTTTTGTAGGTTATTCTTCGCTGAAAAGGATTATGAATGACATTTGTCACTGTGGTTCCTGCATATTCTTTCTGGGATCTCAACAGCGATGTGATATCCACGAACACAGTCAACATCGTAGAGACTGGGATGTGAAGAAGGGCACAGCAGAGCACAGTGCCTCTGGAAAGCTCCCAGGCCCAATACCAACTCTGCATTCCTTCAGCCTGTCTCTCTCCCATGTACCCCTCTTGTCAAGAGAGGGAAATGCAGTTAGAGACAGTCCATTTAATGTTTGTTGAGTGAGTGAAAGAATGAATCAATGTATGAGTTGTCTGTGGCCACATGCCTCTCTGCCAAAATCTATTTCTTCAAACTTAATTTCTGTCTGAACATCTCTATTCAGGCTCCCTGCAGCTTTGGTATTTCAGCAAAAATCCTCCCTGGGTTCTGACTCCAGGAGACAAAAACCACTCATGTAGTCTTTAGAAATCCTTCAATTAATTTTTAAAAATTATTTGTAGAGACAGGGTCTACCTATGTTGCCCAGGCTGGTCTCAAACTCCTGGGGCTCAAGTGATCCTTCTACCTTGGCCTCCAAAGGTGCTGGGGTTACAGTTGTGAGCCACTGCACCTGGCCTCAAACATTTTGTCTTCCAGATTTACCCTCCTTGACGATCTAGTCACCTGATCACTCTCCTCTTTGGGTCATGAGAGCTGGTGACTATGCAGCCAACAGGGACTTCAACAGAGTCCTGCCCTTCCATTTACATTTAACCTCATTGTTTATGGGTGGCCCCCAGGAACTCTCAGAAACAACTGTTAGAGTGCAGGGATCCTGAGGGGAGTGGGGCGAAGTTAGACCAGAGCTTCTGAGTTCTCCTTCCTCATTTCTCCTCCCTCCCTCCCTTCTCTCGCATTCCTCCTCACCTTCTCTATCTCTTGACCCCCATCCCTTCTCTCAATTCCTCTTTCTTCTCAAGTTCTGAGAATGTTCTGGCATCTTCCACCATGCAGAGAGTATGGTAGGAGGTTAGGAACTAATGGCTCTGGAACCAATGTCTCCTTCAAGTGACATATACTTTCAATCAGTATCTCCAAGTCTGTTCATGTTCCTATGATATCAGAGAGGGAAGCCAGACTATTTGGTGCCCAGCCAGTCTCCCCCTCCTCTGGGAGATGTCCAGCCTCTGTGTCCTCTCTTCTGTCTGCACCCAGGGGACCAGATATTTGGAAGCCACACACAGAGACTCAGCTTTAGGGGGCTGGCTCCCCATCTCAAAGACATCTGGTGGTTGAGGCTGGTTGACGCAACCAATCAGTGATCTTTCAGTTGGTAGGTTTTTTGGTGGGGAGAGGGAGTAACCCTGCGAAGAAAAAGCACCAGATCCCCGTGCTTTTCAGTCTCTTGTTCCTGACTCAGACCAGGGAACCAATCTCCGGGGGACTTTGAACTGGGAGGAGCTGACAACGGCTGCTATTGATTTGGGGCTGAGACTTCTCTTGGTTTCTGACGAGTTTTGAACTTGCTGACTTCGGGTAGGTTCAAAGGCAATGAATGTAAGGGCTGTGTGGGCTTCTGGAGAGGGTCTTGGAGAGGTGGCTGGGGCTTTTGATCAGGGCGATTCCCAGGAGATGCTTCTAGGGGAAAAGGGAGAAGCAAGAACCTATAGACGGTTCTAGGACTCTGGGGACTGAGAGGTGAGCTGGACAAAGTGGAGATAGCAGGAGTCGCTGCGCCAGCAGGTGGAGGACAAGGTCAGAGGTCAATGTCCGCTAAGCAAACAGCCTTTACCAGGAGTGCTACCAGTTAAAGGGACAGCTTTGTGGGGCTACAGAAGCATGTTGGTCTGCCACACTCCTGTCTTCTCCACTGAGGTTTCTGTGGGTAAGGATGTTGTTGTGGAAAAATACCTATAACATTAACTTCACCATTTCATCATTTCTGTATATATGTATTCATCTGTTTTAGAGATGGGGGTCTATACTCTGTCACCCAGGCTGCAGTGAAGTGACACCAACACCTCTCACTGCAGCCTTGACCTCCAGGGCTCAAGCGATCCTCCCAACTCAACCTCCAGAGGAGACGGGACTACAGGCACATGCCACCATGCCCAGCTTATTTTTTAAATTTATTTATTTATTTATTCATTCATTGATTTTATTTATTTATTTATTTATTTATTTTTGAGATGGAGTTTCCCTCTTGTTGCCCAGGCTGGAGTGCAATGGCACGATCCTGGCTCACCGCAACCTCTGCCTCCCTGGTTCAAGTGATTCACCTGTCTCAGCCTCCCCAGTAGCTGGGATTACAGGCATGCACCACCAAGCCTGGCTAATTTTGTATTTTTAGTAGAGACGGGGTTTCTCCATGTTGGTCCGGCTCAATTCCAGACCTCAGGTGATCCGCCTGCCTTGGCCTCCCAAAGTGCTGGGATTACAGGTGTGAGCCACCACGCCCGGCCTTATCAGCCTTTTATAATTATACAACTTAGTGGGTGGTGCATCCATCAATAATGAAGTGAAGTACGAGAGGCCAACAGCCAGGATATGTCTGTGCCATCATTATCCACCTGCATCCTGTGACCTGCCACAGCCGGCAGCACAGGGGAAAAAGAACACACACACGGACCCCCAAACACTGGAGTCTCCTTGTCCATCTGCAGCCCCCTGGACCAGCAAGAGGAAAATACACCTTGTCGTCCACCAGAGATGAAAAAGGATCCCCAGCCAGGAGAGGTGGCTCACGCCTGTCACCCCAGCACTTTGGGAGGCCGAAGCAAGTGGATCGCTTGAAGCCAGGAGTTCAAGACAAACCTGGCCAACATGGTGAAACCCCATCTCTACTAAAAATACAAAAATTAGCCGGGCATGGTGGCGGGCGCCTGTAATCTCAGGTACTCGGGAGGCTGAGGCAGAAGAATGGCGTGAACCAGGGAGGTAGAGGTGGCAGTGAGCCGAGATAACACCACTGCACTCCAGCCTGGGCAACAGAGTTAGACTCCATCTCAAAATAAAAAGAGAGAGAGAAAGAAGATGGGGGAGGGGGTATGGCAGGAGTTTCCTTGAAGAGACCAGCATCATTAGTTTGTTCTCATATTGCTATAAAGAAATAACTAAGACTGGATAATATAAAGAAAAGAGACTCCGTCTCAAAGAAAAAAAAATAAGAAAAAGAAAAAGGAGCCCCAAAGCTTCAGGAGATCCAGGGTA